GTTAATGTGGTGTATTACAGAGATGACTTTAGTGTGTTGAACCATTGTTGACTTTTTGGATAAAGGCCTCTTGGTCATGGTGTATAATCCTTTCAATGTGTTATACAGTTCACGTTTAAACAATATGGATTTGAACAGTATGGGTAGATTTATATGTAAATTTTTAAAAATAGATACATTTGAATCTCTATATTGGAGGGTTCCACCTCCATGACTTAGGGTTAGGGGTTGGGGTTGGGTTAGGGTTAGGTTTAGCAGTTAGGAGTAGGGTTCGGGTTTAGGGTTTAAGGTTAGGATTAGGTCCACACTGGCCTCCAGGAAGTCTCATGAGTGGCAAGGGGGACAGCCTCAGGGATGAGAGGCCTTGCCCCTCAGTGGCGCTTCTCCTCTTCCTCCCTCCTCTTTTGCACTGGATGAATTAATGAGGCCCTTTCTAAAGGGCTGCAGCTCTCTCTCCCCATGTGCTGCCTTCCTTGGTGTCACATCACACACCAGATCCAGAACAGGAAGTTGCTGAGTGTGACTCAGAATGCCCCAGAAAGTCCAAGTCCTGTGTCTTAGACTCTAGCATCCAAGGTGGGTGCTTGGGCCCTTTTGTAGGAGGTCTAAATTTTGTGGGGGACACCCTTCGTGCAGACGTGTGGTCTAGAGGAGCAGGGCATGCCCCAAATCCTGGCAAGGCTTCCGGGTGGAGTTAGCGGTGAGCAGGGCAAGGCCTCAGAGCCCAGCTGTGGCCCTGCACAGCCCTGTCGGCACCAACAGACACGCAGGTCCTTGCTGTTGTTTGTACTTGAACATCAAATGTTCCCTATAAATACAGTCAGATGCTGTCTGTCTTTTCCCCCAGACACTGTCAAGCCCAGCAGGGACCAAATCTGGAAAGTGTTCCAGCTGTTGGTCTTGGTTTTTAATCACAACACCATTCATTGTTTTGTTATGTCTACATACTTATTTAGAAGAAATCGAAAACCAGAAAAATTTGAAGGAAACATTAACATAACTCTAAAAAATCAAACCTGTAGAAAGATGTCAACTTCTCATTGTGTGTTTTTGTCACCCATGTGAGGAGATGCTCCTACATAGACTTTGTCCGGTCCAGGTGGCCCTG